TTCAATCAATTTGTCCAATTTAAGGTGGTTAACATTGTAATTTAGGTTTATGGTTTTGTTATTTTATATAATTGCAATGTTATTTGTAATTTATTTTTGCTTACACGTATATTTCTTTTCTTATTTACGTTTATTTTTATTTTTATTTGCTTTACTTTGCTTCAATCAATATGTTCCATTTAAGGTCGTCAAAATTGTAATTTAGGCTTATGGTTTTGTTATTTTATATAATTGGAACATTATTTAGAATTTATTATTGCTTACTACACGTATTATTTTTTTCTTATTTACGTTTATTTTTATTTTTATTTGCTTTACTTTGCTTCAATCAATTTGTCTGATTTTACTCGATATTTACAAAACGTTAATAAATTATTTCTACTTTGATATTTATCGTACAAACAAGTCAGTACACTTTGAGTAATACTTTGATACGCCATATTGGTAATTAATGTTTTACGAGTTATTTAATTGATTATGTGCTTTCTATCGATTTAACAAATATATATATATATATATATATATTTCAGAAACAGGGTCTAGATTTGATGTTATATCACGATGCTGTCTGTTTTAATAACATGCACATATAAATGCGAATATTTAAATTTGATAAGAAATAAAACCAACAAAAAAAAAAAAAATATTCTGGACGAATGACATTTCAAATCCTCTCTCCCACCTACCCCCCGAACTGTGTGTGCTATCGGTCTCCCACGAAAGAGCAGGAAGAGAAACTGGTTGGTTGTCGAGTATGTTGAACTCGTATGTGTTTCTATGTATGCAATAGATCGCCGGAAACTTGACGAATTTTTTTAACAATTTGTTTTTTTTTCTTGTTTTTGACTTTTTCAATAAAATCCTTCTCAATATTTTACACCTTTTAGTGACGTAAGTCTTATCCGAAAGTTGTTCCAGATAGCTGGTTTAACATCGAACACCTGGGGGAAAGGGGGGTTCGTTTAAAATAACTTATAGGAATGTTTTTTATATTGTTTTATTCTTTTCGATTAACATTAGATATACCAGAGTAGTCATTATGACTGATTAAGCCATTTTAATTCAAAATGTCTACTTCATGTAATATTTGATTTCTGTAAATAATTCAAAAATGTCTATCAATTCATTTATCTATTAAAATTATTATTGTCCAACATTTTTTTGTTATTTTTTAAGAATAAATAAAAACTGGAAGTCACAAAAAGCATTTTGCTTTTGTATACACCAGTCATTTTGACTAATGTGATAGAAATAAGTATACCAAAAATGGTGGTATATCTAATGTTCAAATTCTATCATGATAAATTTTGATACAGTAAGATAATTATCTTCAAAATGATAAATTCTTCTAAATATTTACTTTTTTTTTTTTTTGATTCATTTGCATTTTCTAACCAAAAGAATTCTCAAAACAATCCTAAAATTATCCTACAAAAGTCATTGAAATAATGTCGCGAAGTTTAATTTTGTGAAAACGCACGTGTGAACATTTTCGTCAGCAATAAGAGAAATGAATACAAATACACACGCCACGTACTAGTAAGGTGCATGTAAATACATACACATACAGAAAAGATAACGAAGTGTACATAGACGATGAAGGAAAGGAGAGAAGAAAAGAGAGAAGAAAGCTAAATATACATTGGGAGAGCAGAAAAGGCAAGATCCCCCGCCTAGACGGTCGCTTGGTTTGGCTGCCTTTAAACTATCCGTCGTTCTTACCATTCGTTTACTCGCTTCGCTCGTTGCAACTCTAATCTTTCTGTCTCTCTCTCTCTCTCTCTTTATATCGTGATTACATTTTCTTTAGAAATTATTTCTAAGTTTTATTCTTTCCTATTTCATTATGTACAATAACAAATAACCGTTAATTCGATATCAATTCCATTTTTGGATTCAAACGGGTGTCACGCGTCAATACAATCGAATCGAATTTGACGATATCTTCGTCACGTGATCGGCGGTAAATTCAAAATCTTCGAACGTCTTTTTTTTTTTTTTTTAATCGTTTTACAAACGACGTAATAAATAAGACGATTTTTATCGAAGTTTTGGAAGTTTGAAGTTTTAAGTGGTCTCTGTGTGTGTGTGTGTGTTTTCTTGATTAAGTTTTTTGAGTGATTAAAAAGTGTGGTAGTTAAGTGGGGGGGGGGAAGTGGGGGAAGAGGGAAATTTGAAATTGTGAAATATTTCGTTGAATGATATTACGTTTATCGAATTATTTTTCTTTTCTTTTGTTCGATGGATGGTATCATTGGGATGAAAGACTGCACGAAGAAGACCAGTTGGTAATTTTGAACGTAAAACCGAAGCCCGTTCGTGGCACGAACGAGAAAAGGGTCAGCTTTATTCGATTACTCGGATGACGTGCTTCGTACGAGAAAAACGTTTTTTTTTTATCTTCTTTTTCTTCTTCTTTCTTTTTTTTTTTGGTTTTAATTTTGCTTCTTTTTGCGTAACCGTATCTTTGGTTATTTTATTGCAATGAAAAAGTATGACAGATGTGAATTTCTTTTTTCTCTCGAATCAATTATTATTTCGAATAATTTATAATATTATTATTATTATTATATATATATAACACATTGAACAATAATAAGGTAAAAAATATTGTACATTGGACAAATTGATAATGTTAAATCTTATCAAGGTCAAAAAAGATTCTTATTAATGTACATACGCATACGTATAAAATGGTATTACACTTTTAACGAGATCTATGAAGAAAGAAAATTGTGTGTAGGTTATATTATACTACTTTACGAAGGATAATGGCTAAATTCATAGCGCGAAGGATGTAACATTTAATTGACAATAAAACCTTGAGAAATAAGAATTCGAAAAAAAAAAAAAAGAAAAATATACGTCTCCTATATGTATCTTTAAAATAGCTCGTTAATATTCTTGATAGATAAACACAATAAACGTAATTCCAGGTGTAACGTTCGATGCATGTTCCAATTCGATTATGCAATTGTTTTTTTTTATTTTTTTTTAAATTTTATTTAACACTTTCCTAAGAATACGAAAATCATTTGTATGCATTTGAAAGAAATTTAACGTAGTTGTGATATTTTTCAAATGAAACATTAATTGATTGATCAGATTGATGGTGGGTACCAAAATGTCGGAAAGCTTTGGGAAAATGTTTTAACGAGCGATGATTAATTGATCGATTAGTGAGTACCAATATGTCGGATTGTTTTGAAAACGTTTTAACGAATACAAGCAAAGTACTTAAGAGAAAAAAAAGAAAGGATACATTAAGTATCATAGTTACATTAGTATGCGTATCTACATAGAAGAAATACAACGTGCAGCGTCCGCATGGAAATTGTGCAACTGCTGAGCGCGTATACGCGACGTAATACGGATATAATTGTTCAACACGATTGTATAATACGGCTTCGAATGTGGATCCAGTCATTGCCGGAACGTCGTTCCGATGCCATGCTAAACATAAGTGTTATTTGTTCCGACATTTTGTCACATTCGTCGTGAGTCAAAGTGATAAATATTAGATTTTTGTTTTATCTTTCTTTTATTTTCATTCTATTTTATTTCTTATTATTATTCTTCTTTTTTTTTTGAAGTGAAAATTTCTTTAGAATTGGGATCATTTGGAAATTGTGACAATGGAAAAACGCGAAGTATGATGAAACGGAAATACGTCATTTAAAAAGACACAAACATATAGTTTTTCTTCTTTTATCTAATTTTTGGTCCGCTTCTTTTTACTTGTTTTTTTTTTTTTTTTGAAATTACAACTAAAAAAAAAAAGAAATTATGTATATACAGTAACGCGTGAAATTATCTAACCAGTGTTTAATTATTTTTGAATTGTTTATTTTTTATTCATCTTCTTTATCTTTCTTTTTTTTTTTAAATTACAACTAAATAAGGACCAAAATTACGTTGATACAGTATCGTGTTAAAATATTTAACCCGTGTTTAATTATTTTTTATTTTTTCTCAATCTTCTTTTTCTTCTTTTTTGATCTCATGTTTGTCTGCTTCTTTTTACTCTTTTTTTTGTTTTTTGAAATTACAACTACTAATATTTAAAACGTGTTTCATATTTATATAACATTACCAATAATAATATTAATTTATTTTGTACGAATAAATAAATTGTTGGACTTCTTCTTTTTATTTTGTTTTGTTTTTTCTTTTTCTATTTAATTAATCGATCAAAATAATTTAGAAATCGATCCTTGAATTGTTTTTTTGACGAAAGTTTTTTTTTTTGATTTGTAAATTAATGAAATTTACCGACTTTAAATGAATAAGATATATTTTCTTGTTTTTAATTTAATGTATTGATTATTGCAAAGAGATCGTAAAAAGATAAGGAAAAGACGTAAAATATGATTTGCAAAGATAAATTTGTCTCTCTCTCTCTCTCTCTTTCTTTCTCTTTTTTTTGGTCTCTCCTTCTAGGCAAATTGTCGGAAGAACAATAAATTTGTTAAAAGTGGAGCGAGCTCGTTTGAAACTGGTCGTGTGTCTCTTAGTCTGTGGTTTACATAATCCAACAACTGTGGTATAAAACTTGTTGTATAGTGGTGACTGCTGTGTGACGGTTGGTAGAACAGAAAATCGATGTTTCATCTTGTTTAGATGTAAAAAAAAAAAAAAAATTAAATAAAAAGTAATAAAGAAAAAAGAAAAAAGCAAAAGGAAGAAAAAGTATGACGAAAGAGGAAGAAGAAAAAGTGTTAGTGAATCGTTTGGTTGAACGATTGAACATCATCATGTTCAGTTTAACATCGAATACTCTTCTCTACTCACTTGTTGTTCTTCTTTAAGACGAGTTTTTTTTTTTTACAAGTTTTGTAATATTTCAATTGCTTTTAGTTATTACGTTCTTATTATTTTGTTGTTGTTTTTTTTGTGTGTTTCTATCGAGTAGATCGTTTTGAGGAATTAACTAAACGAATCGTGTTCAACGGTGTTTATGTTAGTAAACTGTATTTACTTTCTGCTAAGATGGTTAAACATTCACTATGATTAATAATAATAATAATATTTAAAATTATAATAATAATAATAATAATAATAATAATAATAATCGATATTAACGATAGTCGAATCTTTTATCAAAAGGAATAACTATATTCGTGTTATATTTTATATTTACTTCTTTAGTCTTTCTAATCTATATATATATATATATTATCTAATATCTAATATCTAATATATATATTATCTAATATCTAATATCTAATATATATATATATAATTATATAATATCTAATATATATATATATATAATCTAATATATATATATATTACTAAATTGGTAGTATTTACTAATAAATATATATATTTTATTTATTTTATTTTATTATATTTTATTTTTTTATTTACTATATATATTATATATTA